TCACTAAATTCAACGGGAAAATTTTTTTTGTATCTTATAGATCATCAAATGCTTTTTCTAAAGAAACGAAATAAAATTTACTGACTAAAAATGAAAGTATATTTAATTTTTTTTTAACTTTGTCTAAAGGAAATAACATGAAAAATGTAAAACTCACTTTTGTCATCTGAGTTATTACTAAAACCTCACTATTTAATGTTTCATAATATTGCCCAATGATAAGACTAGTCACATTTAAAATCTGATATTGCCCTGGCCAGTTTTGCTCAGTGGATAGAGCATCAGTTTGCAGGCTGAAGGGTCCCGGGTTCAATTCCAGTCAAGGGCATGTGCCTTGGTTGCGGGCACATCCCCCGTGGGAGGTGTGCAGGAAGCAGCTGATCAATGTTTCCAACTCTCTATCCTTCTCCCTTCCTCTCTGTAAAAAAGAAATAAAATATATTTAAAAAAATAAAATCTGATATTGATAGCTAATATGATCCTTTGGTAAATAATTTTTTTAAAATACCAGTTGTTTATTGCTAGGAGTGTCTGTTTTCCTCATAACATACATCCATAGTATAGCCATCTTGATTTAAACTGTGCTTTCTTTGCAGTTTCTTGCATAACTAGGCTTGGCACCAAACAAAGCAGACTCGTGTCCATCATACACCCCACCGGGGTCACCACGGGCATCCCTAAGACGAGTGCAGCTAGCGATGCTGTGTGCCCTGGGTGTGGTGAGCACTTGGCATAGGAGCAGCGGGCACTGGTGAGGCCAGTCTGCTCTGCTTTCACTGGCTTTCTCCCAGCTGGTGTTGCTGGGATGGAGTGAGAGGTGAGAGCTTCCTACTCTAACTCTTCCCTCCTTTCCTTTCATACAGTTCACTCAGGGCCGGGACTGCCAAGGACTCAGGTTCCTAGGAAAATACTGGACCAGGAACAAGGAGACCCAGATTCTGTTTCTCACCGTGGCCTTGGGAAATCAGAACCTCTATGGACCTTGATGTTTTTCATAAAAATGATATTGAACTAGATCACATAGATAGACTATGGATATTTTGTTTTCACAGGATTTGAACTGCTTTGTACATTTTTACTTAACAATATCACAGGTCTTTTGAAAAGGGCCCCGCTTGGAAATGCACATGGATGACCTTTAATTATCATTAGCTGAACTCAAGACATAGGCAGAGCCACGCCCTGGGAACATGTTTCCCCAAAATGTGGGAGCTGTTATCAGTACTATTGTAATTTCTTATCTTTATCCATGTGCTTGGAATGAGGAACGAATAGGACCTTGACTAACCCAGGTCTTGATCTGCTAAATCCCAGGAATGAGGGAATGAATAGGACCTGGGCACACCCAAAACCTCTTGACCTTAAACCCCCCTCTGGAAATCAATAAATGCACTGTGTGGTCTGTGGTGGGGGTTGACTGTCCCTCAATCAGAGTGATTGCCTCCACCCGGCATCCATCTTTTGGATCTATTTCTGCCTCTTGCTCTTTCTTTCTTTTATTTCTTAATCCCCAGCTCCTCCACTCAGGAACCTGCCTTCTCCCTTTCCGTGCGGGATTCGGAAAAAGGAGAAGCACCCACCGCAATCTTTTGCCGATAACATCATTACAAAAAGTTTAAATCAAGCTCACATAAACATACTCATAAAGCCCTACTGGGCTGCTATATGGTGCGTGCATCTTTATCTTGTCCTGGACATAGCAATAGTATCTTTTATTTATATTTGTATTGATTTCAGAGAGGGAGGGACAGAAATGATGATGAGTGGCTGCCTCTTGCACGCCCTACACTGGGGACTGAGTCCACAACCCAGCATGTGCCCCGACCAGGAATTGAACTGTGATCTCCTGGTTCGTAGGTCTACACGCAACCACTGAGCCACGCCAGCTGGGCACAGAGAGTACCTTTTAGTTTAAAGGGAAGAGATTGTTTCCTTCCACAGAATTATTTCACTTTATGTTGCTTCTTATGAGAGAATAAAATGTCCCCTCCTTGTCACTAGATGAAAAGATTGGTGGAGGTTGATGTTGGAGGACTATGATTTCCCAGCAGGTTGCAAATTATTGGCCTGTGCTGTTATCATACTCTCTCCTTTCAGAATTGCAAGGTCATCCTGCTGTTCCCTGGAAATGTTCTCACTGCTGACAGTTCTGGGCCCACATCAGAGGGGACATGTCCACTTAGCAACATTCAAGCAGCACACTGCCGGCAGCCAACCTTCAACTTGGAATAGTGTGTGACAGCTGACCCAGCACATGACCTAGACATCTTGTTTTCAAGTGCAAGATAACTCATTGTCCTCATTACTTTAGTCTGTGCTGATTCCATAAAACTGCTCTGGGCAGACACGCCAGAAACTTAAGGAAAAACAAAGACAAAGGAACACACTGTGATGGGAACACATGTGGTGATGGCTGGACTGGAACACGGCCAGAGCTGCTGCAATTATCGGCAAAGATTACTGAGAACCTATTTGTATCCACCATTGACATGTACAGACGCTCCTCTGCCTTTGAGAAATCACATCTGTGTAGGAGAGGAGACAAACACCGGACCTGATCCTCAGGTCCCCTTGAAAAATAGTTTAGGAGGGATTAGGATTGCATGGTCAGCAGGGAAAGACCACAAACAGAGTCAAAGAAAAAGGATAACCTGGCCCCCCAAAACCAAACCTTTTATCTTATATCACAAAAGGCTAATTTTATTGTATTTGAAGAGCTCCAAGTTAGCAGAATCTATAATAAAAGTATAATATGCTAATTAGACCGGACATACTTCCGGTTGACCTTCCGGATGAAGCTGGGCTGTGAGGGAAGCCCAGGTCCTGGGTGCCTGCCAGCGGTCAGAGGGAAGCCCAGGTCCCCAGTGCCAGAGGGAAGCTGGTGCCAGCTGTCAGGGGGAAGGAAGTCCTACTCTTGCACAAATTTTGTGCACTGGGCCTCTAGTAAAGCACATGAACACAGTTCTCAAATAGTTTTTAAACATAAGATGCTCAACTGGACAAATAACAAGAGAATTTTAAACCAAATAACAAGAGAATTTTCTTCCCAGAGATCAAAAAGTTGGCTAAGAGCATTGGTGAGGATTGGGGGTGGGATAAGCACTCATCCATTGCAGCACAGGCTGCTACAACATGTACAAAGCTATTGTAATAAAAGCTATCCCAATACTCTACAGTCAACACCTTCCTTTCTAGAAATGTAAAGACACATATACACATATACATCCGGATGTATACAGGAACACACCTCTTGTAATTTTACTCATTTATCTAAAAAGATGGGATCAATTTAAATGGGCATCAATTGGAGACTTTTTAAATAAATTACAGAGTCTCACTTTGATGTAAATATTAGTTTTGAAAACAAGTAAGAGTTAGGTAGATGTATAGATGACAGAAAATAGATAACATAGATACAGAATAATCTAAGAGGATTTGCTAAATGAGAAAAAACATGTAGCCTGGCTGGTGTAGCTCATTGGTTGAGCATCGACCCATGAATCAGAGGAGGTCACTGGTTCAATTCCCAGCCAGGACCCAGGCCCAGATGGTGGGCTCGATCCCCAGTGGAGGGTGTGCAAGAGGCAGCCAATCCTCATCGATGTTTCTCTCTCCCTTTCCTTCATCTCTAAAATCAATAAAAACGTATTTTAAAAAACCTGTATGTATACCCCAGTGTTAGTATGGTAGTGGAGGGCTAGTTGTGAAAGTCTGAAACCCAAGAGAGAAACAGTCACTGACTTCACTCCAGACCTACTCAGAATCTGCGGGTTTTAGACATCTTTTATTTCTACAGGCTTTTACAAGTAGGAGATGGTGATTTTTAAGTTGATTCCTATGGAGCCAAGTCACCACATCCTGTAATTATTCCAGTTAACTTTTCATGTCAAGTGCAGACTTTGTCACCACACACCCCCACTCACTTCTTTTCTTTGGGGAAGAAACCGGATAAGTTGTCTTGCGGAACATAGGACGTGAACCTACTGAATGCAGACTTGCCCCTCGTGCCATCTTCCCTAAAAATTCATTCAGTGTGTACTGAACAATAGGAACTGGGAAAACAGGGCGAATAAACGAGGTTTAAACTCACAAAGGGGATCTAGTAAGCATGTTAAATAATTAGAACACAAAAGGTTTTGTGCCATAAGGCATGCATTGGCAATCCTGAGGGCCCAGGCACCCTTCTCAGTTCGCACGTGAGTGAGGGGCAGGGGTGCGGATCAGGAAAAATGACTCAAAGGACAAGTGTTTGGATTTACACGTCTCGGGCAAATATGCACTGGGCAAGCAGACAAGGAGGGGCTGTTCTCCGGCTGAAGAAACTGCATGTTCACAAAGGTATGAAACCCCAGGCAGCCCTACCTGGCTTGGCTCAGTGGATAGTGTCAGCCTGCGGACTCAAGGGTCCCAGGTTTGATTCCGGCCAAGGGCACATGCCTGGGTTGTGGGCTCAATCCCCAGCAGGGGTCATGCAGGAGACAGCTGATCAATGATTCTCTCATCATTGATGTTTCTGTCACTTTCTCCTTCTCCCTTCCTCTCTGAAACAAATATATTAAAAAATAATAACACCCGGGCCCCCAGCAGGTGTGTAGGGGTGCCCCTGAAGGTGTGGAGAAAGTAAACCAGGGAGAAAGGGAATGGACCACCAGATTATAATGGGCTGGATTATAATATGGTCACAGTTACATTTTAAGAACCAATCCACTAGGACCGGGGTCAGTGACTCAGGGCAAGGCAAGATCACGGCTGGCTTCCAGTATTTTGCTGGGGACTGACATGGGTTTTACTTCTGTGATTTCCTGCCCCTTCTCCCACCCTCTCGTTTTCCACCCAAAAAGAATTTCCCCAGCTCAGCAGTGAAACGAGAAGCAAACTGACCAAGGAGCTAGTTAGCTCTTGGTTCTTTCTTAACTCCAGGAATTCTTCTTTTTCTGTAGTTACTTCAGGATAATCCCCCCCCCCCCCCCCCAAAGTTATCAAAGTCATTTAAATGACAAAACAAATCACATTTGATTTATACCTCAGAAATGCCAGCAAAGAAAAATGGAGCTGGGTTGGGGCTGCCTTCCTAATCTCTCACTGTTGCCTTCATTGCGTTTGGAACTTAGATTGGTTTATGCCTTAGACCACATGTGTCAAACACAAGGCCCGCGGGCCAAATCCGTCCCGCCAGGCCTTGCAATGTGGCCCGCACCGCGCTGTCATCACTGCACTCCGCTGCGTTTCCATCACAATGACAGTTTATGACTGTTCAGTAAACCATTCGGCTCGTGATTTAGGCTGGATTTTAGATTTTGGCCCCTTCTCTGATTGAGTTCGACACCCCTACCTTAGACTTTACGCCACTTTTATTTAATAACAATGAACTTGTGCTCCATTTTGTGCCATCAGCTTTGCCACTTGGTACTTAATTAACCTAGAGACATGATGTGGCCTTTAGAGCTGCAAGGTTAAAATATGGTCTAAAGGAAAGGCATTAAACTATACTCAGTAGCGTCACTTAGCGTATTTGATTGTAATCTTGGGTCCTTGAAAATCTGTGGATCACGGTCAGCATCCCAGTGACCAGGGAAAAGTACAAAAAAGCCTTTTTCATTGGATAAATTCTAGTTCTTTAAAAGCTCCCAACATGCCCTGGGACGTAGGAATGTGCATCCCCATTCTAAAACACGAGGGAACTGAAGCCCAGGAAAGCATCTGGTAACGAGCGGTGTTCAAACACGTGACTCCTAAGCTCTTCTTTAAACCTCCCAGTAGAAAACTTCATAAACCAACTGTTCTCAGCCTGGGTAGGGGGTGTTGTGTCTCCCCCTGCACTTTCCCCCCCCCCGCCCCCCCCCCCCCCCCCCCCCGTCCTCTCCCCGTGGACATTTGGAAACCCATTGGGAGCCAGTTTTTGGCTGTCACATCTTGGGGAGGGAGGAGTGCTGCTGCACCCAGTAGGTAGAGACCAGGGATGATACCAAACAGCCCACAGTGCACCGGACGCTCCCCCACAACAAAGAGTTGCCCGGCCCAACGTGTTAAAAGTGCCGAGACTGAGAAACTAGAGGGCAAACCATATTCCTCAAAAAGTCTCACAGACCTATTACCAACCCCATCCTGTTTTTTGTTTTGTTTTCTGAAATCAATGTGTAGGATCAATGAAAATAGCTTTGAACCAGAGACAGATGTGTTTCATACACGCACAGGCATGCACATTTTTAATGCAGCTGAGATGTGCTTTTAGTTTATACTGTAAAATACTGTGATCACAGAACTTTGGGTGGGGAAACATACATGTATGTTTCATGTTTCCATTGATGTGTGATTGTCCTGATCTTTATTCTGTTTTAATAAAAGATGCAAGAGGTGTGGGGAAAGAAACCTTGACTCAGAAAGCAGGGAGAAACATCATATGGAAGCTTTATAAAGTAGACATTTTTTTTTTTTTTAAAGCACAATGAAGTCACACCATGAGGCAGAAAACTCCTTTCTTAATTTTATTTGAAAAGTACACAAGGTCACAATGCTAGAGCAAGTTATTGCTTTTTTTTTTTTTAACCAAATTTGTTCTTACAAAGTTCAAAATCTGCACCATTGGATATTTAAGCCAGAAACATTAAATACAAAATTCATCTTTGAAACGGACACTATCAATTCTCTACTTGCATATGTGAAGTGTCAAAATATTTTTTCTCAGTAGTACAAGTTTATTTATAACAAATGTTCACAGTACGAGAGGAGAATAAGTGCATCAGTGAATTGTGGCTCGCTTGACACTTGTGTCATTAAATATGTCAGTGCAAAAATGCAGAGTTCTTCCTTGATCGGAACTTTTAGTGTTCATGGCCAAAACCAGTCCCAGCAGGTACTTTCCATACTCGAATCACAAAACAGTGCACTTTGTAAAACTTGATTAACAGTAAGAAGCCAGATATAGAAAATATTTGCTGGTGTTCCTATCCGTAAGATAAGGTATTTGCTGGTGTTACTATCCATAAGATAAGCAGAACTGCAATTCACAGATTTATTATTCCTCCCTGCTTCCATAACATGAATAAGTGGAATCTGTGCTCGGTTATGAACCATATGTTAGTGTCAAAATAGGAAAACAAGTAAAAAAAAAAAAAAAAAAATCCAACTGCAGAACATGTTGCCTTTATTGCAAGACTATCCAAAGGCATTTGAAATATTAAAACTTGCCCAGAACATTTATACTACTAAACACAGAATATCACAAAGATTTATGTACATATATATATATAATATATAATGTCACAAGCCACTAAGAAGTTAAAATGGTGTCAACATTTTCTACAAACTACTCCTTGCATGACACATCAAAGCATTGAGCACATAATATGGACCTTCTCTATTCACACTGGAATAAGGGGTCTGAAAGCCCTAAACACTGTGGAGGTGAAGAGATTAGGAAAAACCTGAAACATTTACATAACTTCAAATTTACATGCTGCACGCACACAGAAAGACAGAGAATGGTGATTTTAAAAAGCCATCCATTATAGAATTTGATGTCTAACTTCATGCAACGAGTTCTTTTTATATTTAATAAAAATGTCTATTTGCCCCTTTACTTGCTCCTTATTTATGAAACTCAATCTTGGAAATTATCTTTTTAATAAAAATCAGATATTAATTCATACCAATAATCTAATTGTGTTTCTTGAATCAACCTCCCGCTAGGACACACTCTGGCTGTATTTCCATTGTAACAATTCCATGGCAGATTTATTTTATTTTGTTTTTTTGGCCTTCAAACAGGGAATATTAGAATAAAAGAACACCCATAAAGCACAGAACTACATCCTCTAAGGTACCACTACTTCTCAAGTTATTCTGTGTAACTCAACTAGTGTTGAGTCTCTTAGGTGTAAAGTGGAATCGATTTCTATTGCCTCGAAGATGCAGTGCTGTCCTTGATTTACGTAAGCTCCAATGGAAATGCTCGAATAGCAAGTTTTGTCGAATTGCCTGATGATTACCAATAATTCCAGAGCAAATATATGATCTCTGGTTTAAATGAAATCATCAGTGAGAATCCCTGAATGGGTCAATCAGAACTATCTGACTTTTAGGTTAACTTAAATTTACAATGAGAGTAGCTGAAGACAGAGTCCAAAATGAATTCTGTCCTCAAAATTTCATCACGCCCAGTAGGTCTGTACAGGATACACAACGAATTTTTTGTGAGCTCGTTTCTTAGGGTGCAGGTGCTTCTGGAAGAGATTCTGATTTATTTGTCGCTAAATCCTAGACCAACTACTAAATCTAGGGCAAGGAAAGCCTTACATGGATCCATTTTTTTTTTGTAGTAATTTCTACTTAGATTGATAGCATAATCTTCAGTGCATGAAAAACTAGTAAAGACCAAAAGTTGTTTCTCAGAGTTTGTGCTGGTGTATATAAATGTATTCATATAAAACAGACTGGACATCTGGAGTTCAAAAATAGTTACTATTATAAAATCAGAAACACAGCCAAAGAGTGTGTGGGATGTTAAAATTTCATTCTGTTAATTTGCATACAAAAAGAACACAAAGAGGAGGCAAGATTGAAGTCTGAGGATAGAAAGGTGTCACAGTGATGCGTTTTAGGAACAGTACCTTCACCTCTAAGCACCTTTCAGGTGATAGCTAGATCATAGGCACCAGAAATTCATAATAAAAATTAAATTACCCAAAAGGCACAAATGAAAACTGTTAACACAAGTACAAATGCAATATTGTGAAAGGTTAAGACCCTATTTAAAAAAGGCTTCCAAATATGTAAAACTATACACTAATCCATTACACAGACATTCCGCTTAAATTTACCATTAAAAAGTGTACACGATACTCTTACTAATCAGCAAGTCATGCCAACATTAATTTCTAATGCAGCATGAACCACCACAGCACCCAAAGAGATGAACAGAAGAAACCAACTCCCTACAAAACCAAGGGAACAGGTTTTAGAGCTAGTGAAATAAGTTATTGCAGACCTTACTTACTATAAAGAAACCGCTGGCTCATTCTACTATAGCCACACTCCCTCACAATCTTAAGGGAAATACAATAAATTTACTTTCTTCTTCTAAAACAGTACTTAACACATTTGGCAGTTGGGAGTATTCTGTGTACCCCCTTTCCTTTCTTTCTTTTTTTTTTTTTTAAGAATAAATCACTTTCACAAAACTAGGACTCAAACTTTTCGAAACTCAACTGGGTTTTCTGCAACCGCACAGACAACGTTGGCAGTAGAATAGCAACTGTGCATCCGCCCAAGTCTGGAAGACAGAACCGTGGAGGTCACCGACTAGCTTACAATGCGCTCCGTCATTCCGAGCCTATGAAGAAACATCCTCCAAGGACTGCATTCAGGAAGGTAGACTTCGGATCACATGTTTCCAGAACATATAACATGCAACACCCATCCAAAAAAACGACCTCAACAAAACACTGAATTCGGGGGGAGGGGAGGGACACTTTTTAAAATTTGGAACCAATAATTAGGGACTTTCAATCTGTATCTGTCAAATAATAAATGTCATAATTGTTTCTTATTAGAAAAATATCACCTAACGCAGAGAGCCAGTGTGTAGTTGGGAACTGCAGGATTCTCCTTCCTTGCTCTGGCGGGTCACCCTTCTCGAGATCACCCCAGATTGCTCTTCGCTGAAATCCACTCTCACCACTGTACCTAGTGTCATCGCTCTATGCAGTGAGAGCAAACTTGCTAAATAAATCCACATAAAAGAGCTTACTATGCCTCACAGTCTATCAATCAAATACTGAAGCAATCATTCCATAGACAAGGCTAATGCATGACCTGAAAGTAAAACTACTAATTTCTAGAACCCTGTAGAGTGTTTTTATGTTACTAGAGCTATAGCAAACACATTTATGTTACTAGAGCTATTCCAAACAGTTTTCAAAGAACAAACATAAAGGACTATAATAATTGTTGCCAAGAATGCTTCTTTGCCAATTTTGGGTCATAAATTAATTGAGAAAGGCATCCTAAAAATAATGGCAGGAATGAAAAAAAAAATACTACTTTTTAAGATGATTCAAGTATCAGCTTGGTGTGCATGTAAGTTCACCAATATCTTCTCCTATGATTTCATATCCAAAGTGCTACATATTACAAAGTATTGGTAGTTAGAAACTTACAAAATCAACTTATGTAAGAAATCTTTTTCAGATGGCTAATTTGTCTTTAGTAACTTTAATGCCTTTACTATTCCGATATAAACAAACACAACTTTTTAAAGTATGTTTCTTACAATTTTTGGTTCACTTTTTGATCTATTGAGGCTGGTAGCAAAATTTAGAACAAAATAGGTTTTCCTATTTCAAAAGAAGGAGAGAAGCGTGGAGCACGGAGGTGAGAGGTTTGGAGGCCCTATACTATAGACCCATCCTTGCTCTGGGCTGGAATCATCACCGGTACCGCTCCCATCCTACTGAGATTAGGGGCAGCTACCTTGGCGGGTGGGAGAGTCGGACTCTGAGGTGCACGTTCAAAATCTTCGCTTGGTACTTGGTTATACTGAGTCTTAGAATAGCCCTCCATGTTGGAAGGAGACATGGATCCCAGAGATGAGTGATTGCTGCCGATGTAGCTTCTGGCAGTGGATGTCCGGCTCTTGGGAGGAGGCACATCTTCCCTGGAAAGCAAAGATCCCAATATAATCAAAAGATTGTTCCTTGTAAGACATAAAATTGTAAATTTTTGTAAACAGTGCCTTTTACTGTATGAGAAGATCTATATTCTGTAAATGATAACTAATAAACAAATACACAGTTTGTGGCATTATACTGTACTAGAGACCTGGTGAACAGATTTGTGCACAGTTGGGGTCCCTCGGCCCACCCATGAGTCAGAGGCTACACGATTGTAGGTTACTAGAAATTGTAACATCTTCCCTGGAAAGCAAAGATCCAATTGTGTGGGGGCTATTTAAGCACTAAGTATATAAAAGTGTGTGTGACATACAAAAAGCAGGCACAATCTATCTATATATATATAAAAGCCTAAGCAACTGTTTTGACTGGTTGCTATGACGACGCACTGACCACCAGGGGGCAGACGCTCAACACAGGAGCTGCTCCCTGGTGGTCAGTTAGCTCCCACAGCCAACCTCCTGCGGCCGGCCAACCTCCAGTGGTCCCTTCCTTTGGATGGCCCCAATTGGCCCCGATCGCTGGCCAGGCCGAGGGACCCCCAACTCTGCACAAATCTGTGCACCAGGTCTCTAGTACAGTAAAATGTCACAAACTATGTATTTGTTTATTAGTTATCATTTACAGAATACAGATCTTCTTATATAGTAAAAGGCAGTGTTTACAAAAATTTACGATTTTATGTCTTACAAGGAACAAACCTTAAAATAGGTTCATATTCCAGTACAACTAATCAAGATAATCTCATTACAGTCATGTAATACTTTATCCTATGTAATAAAAGGCTAATATAAAAAAATTGTCCCCTTGACCAGTTAGACTGAGAGTTCGACCAAGGGGTGGGACTGGCTGGCCAACCACCTGTAACCCCTCCCTCCAGCCATTTCCCTCTCTGATCCTCCCCCTTACTGATCGGGGGCAGGGCTGCCTGGCCAACCGCCCATGTCCCCTCTACCTGGCCGGCCTGGCCCCAATTGCCTCAATTACAGCAAGCCAGCAGGACCCCACCCATGCATGAATTCGTGCACTGGGCCTCTAGTAGTTACTAAAGCTCTAACACTTACAGGTATATTTCTACCAAAAAAGAAAAAAAAGAAAAATCCTTTTTGCTATTAAAGTTACTGATCTAAGACCTTAGCTTAAAACAGCAGATTCATCTGCAAAAAAAAACCCAAAAAACAAGAATTCAGGCAGAAGAATTTTCACACCGAGGACTAATGAGTTCCATCTAGTGCATTTTAAAAATGCAAGTGCCCAGACCTTACCTCATACCTACCAAATGTCAATTTCCTGGGTGTTATTTAGTCACATGTTATTATTTCTTCAAGTTTAATAATCGAACATAGACTTCCAGTTAAGATCTCCTGGCTTAGAATATTTTGTAAAAAACCGTATTACCAATAGTTCTGTCACTTGATATAATTGGGTCTTTTCTCTTCCTTCTTTTTGGGACTATGCCCTCCCTGTACCTGATTTGGAGAGGGCGAACGGTTTTGAGATAAACTAATTTGTAGTGGTTCTTAAAATAGGATCCAGAACTGGAGAGGGCCCAGGGCACGGCCTAATGGAGATTGACTGAATCTGCACACTTGCCAGGGAAAGTAAGAGCTTTCCAATATTTTGAAGGGAAAAGCTTTAACTTTTATCCAGTTCTCACAGGGGCAAGTGTTTCGGATGGTTAAGAGAAGTAATGCTTTAGGCATAATAAATTCAGTACACCACACGTCAATCAACTCTGGCGTCACCGAATTACCTGATATCATGATGAACCTCCTTTTCATATTTTTCCTCTCTGCGCTTTTTGTGGCAGCAAAAGATGATCACACAGATGAGCATGAGAGCAAGCAGAGTTCCTATGATGGCTCCGGCAATTGTCCCAGCTCTGTTTGATGCTAGAATAAGAAGTTCATAGGAAATAATGATAAACACCACCACTCTATCTAGTCATATTGAAGGTAAGGGTACACACTGTCAGATGGATTTCCCTGTATACAATAACTATAAGAAACTAATTAGCTTTTTGGTCCAAGGGGAAAATTCACTAAAAGAACTGTCTTTTGAACTGTATAATCTATTTTATTTTATGTATTAATTTTATACATATACTATATAACAAAAGGTAATATGCAAATTGACCCTAAAGGAGGGACAACTGATTGCTATGACACTCACTGACCACCAGGGGGCAGATGCTCAACACAGGGGCTGCCCCTTGGTAGTCAGTACGCTTCCACATGGGGAGTGCTGCTCAGCCAGACGCCGGCTCATGGCTGGCCAGCACAGTGGCGGTAGTGGGAGCTTCTCCTGCCTCTGCAGCAGCACTAAGGATGTCTGACTAACGGCCAGACTCAGCCAGCAGATGGACATCCCTAAAGGGGTCCCAGACTATGAGAGGGTGCAGGCCAGGCTGAGGGACTCCTCTGACTGCATGAATTTTTGTGCACCAGGCCTCTAGTATGTATATATATTTATTGGCTTCAGAGAGGACAGGAGAGGGAGAGAGAGAAACATCAATGAGGAAAGAGAATCACTGATCGACTGCCTCTGGCACACCCCACACTAGGGATCAAGCCCATAACTCGGGCAAGTGCCCTGACCAGGAAGCAAAACTGTGACCTCCTGGTTCAGAGGTCAATGCTCAACCGCTGAACCACGCCGGCTGGACTGTATAATATATATTAAGCATAAATGTGATCAAACCAGATTAAAAGATTTTAATGTCCCCAGCTTTCTGAGTTGGCACATAAGAATGTTCCAAATAGCTTACCCTTACAATGGCTAAATCTGGTGTAAGGGTTGACTTGACAACTCTCATGTTCTTCATGTTGCTACGATAACAAAGGTTTTTCTAATAAAATGCAGGGTTTTTTTTTTTCCTTTCTGCCACTAACCAAGCCAGAGTGCTCTGCTCAGTTTGCACCCACTTGCCCTCCATACGCCCTTGCTGACTGAATGGGGGAGGGGGCTGCCGAGTAAAGACAAGGGAGCGAACGCTACCACCCCCGACGGAAGGCACTTACGAGGCACGACATCCAGGCGCAGCACGCACTGGTCAGAGCCCACTCGGTTGCTGACTGTGCACTTGTACGTCCCGGAGTAGTCAGTGGTGGCGTTTTTGACAGTGATCACAGAGGACGCCATTTCTACGAGGAGAGAGACGGGGCAGAGGGAAACCCCTTGTTACAGGATTGCTGAGGTGTCAGTAAAGGCGAACTCTGCCAGGCTTGACAGTCCCGGCAAAAGCGGGAGAGGCTGAAGCTGGGTGCAGAGCCGACGCCAGGCAGACAAGGCCCGGGCCGGTCCCCAGAAGGCAAACCACTGCGGCTCCCGTTCATCTGTGCAGTACGATTTGCAAAACCCATTCCATCCACCTCGCCCTTCCCCCAGATGGAAGAAACAGACAAAAGGAAGTCAGAAGGGGGCCAATACAGTTTACCTCTTAATTGGAAAAAAGAATCAGAGGCTCAGAGAAATCCTACTTAGAAGGTGGAGACCAGTTTGAGTAACAGGTCGGTTCTAACAAAGGGAGCAATTGGGTTAACCAGTTTGCAACTCTCTCGTCAGTGCCACAGAGGTGCTTTTGATCTGTTGGAGGGCAGGTGGAGGGACCAGGCCAGCAGGGGAGGGCAGTTAGGGGTGACCAGGCCGACAAGGGCAGTGTAACAGACACACCATGGGTAAAGTGCAGAATCTTCAACACTAAGGTAGGCTCAGGAAACTTTCAAGAACCAACTCTGTATAACAGTCATTCATTTAAGATCATGAACGTTTCCTGATAGTATTATCATCAATTAAAAAAACATACCAAAGAAACCAATTATAAATCTCAAACTGTGAAACTCTTATAGAAGTATATCTATTTATACTACATGGCAGTAAGTTGTCTTCCTAAAACACTATAGAATCCTGATTGTCCTGTATAGAAAAGGGAGGGTGTCTGGGATATAAAACACTCACACACACACACACACACACACACACACACACACACGAGCTAAGTCCACATCTGTGGCACACGGTACAAACCGTCTCACCTGATATCAGTGCCGTGGGCAGTTTCTGTGAGTTGGTCATTTTCTGCCATTCATAATTCAATGGGAGCGAACCTTCCTTTGGTTCACATTTCAGTTTAAAGTCATTCCCAATTTCTTCTGATCCATCCACGTAACATCTTGTACCTGAAGGCTTAACTGCGAAGAGAAAATAAATGATAACTTTATTCAGAAACACAGACTTTTTGCTTACAGGGATTCTTAAACACCAAGCATGCTGCACAACCACTGACGATTGTCACAAGGCTCTGGCTCAGAGCTGACAAGACTGAGTAACTACAATCTGTTCAGGCAAGCCCTGCCCTAGCTGGTTTGGCTCAGTGGACAGCGTTGACCTGCGGATTGAAGGGTCCCAGGTTTGATTCTGGTCAAGGGCACGTGCCTGGGTTATGGGCTTGAGCCCCAGTAAGGAGCATGCAGGAGGCAGCTGAACAATGATTCTTTCTCATCATTAATGTTTCTCTCTCTCTATCCCTCTCCCTACTTCTCTAAACTCAATAAAAAAATATTAACACACACACACACACACACACACACACACACACACAAACAAACAAAACAGGCACGCCTGGGCTCAGGCAGCACTCAGGCCTGGCTCTGTGTCCCTTATGTTATGGGATATACCTGGAAAAAGCAAACACCCGCGGGCGGCATCTCTCCAGACTCAAGCAACCACCCTCCTCCATTCCTAAGCTCCTCCTCTACCCCATGCTGGGCATGGGAGTACGTGTCACGTCACTTCCTTCCGGTGCCATTACGTGCCAATCGGGGGATTATAATAAAACATGCTGGCAACAGGGTCACTTCACTTGGTGCATTACATTGACCCCAAACCACCCAGGGAGCACTGTTATAGATAAAAAGGTAAACCTGAGGCTACAGTCCAGGTCTCCCCCGGTAACTGTTAGAGAAGCCACAAACTCCATTTCCTGAAACTCACCCCAACATCGAATTAACACCTTGGTGTTTCATATTCTCTTGGTAAACTTTACTGAAGCATAATACACCATAAAAGTAACACATTTTAATAGTGTGAGTTGATCATGTCCAACACACACACGCACTCATACTGCCCCTCCCCCCCACACACACATGCACACCCCATTGAGTGCCACCCCAATCTGCTCCCAAGCCAGTTCCCTTGTGCCTGGTGCAGTCATCTCACTCTCAACCCTGGCCCCAGGCGCCACGGTTGGACTCCCTCAGTACAGGTTAGTTCTGCTGCTTATAGGGTCAGGTGAATGGAATAATACAGTACGTGCTTCAGTCTGGCTTCTTTATTCACTGTAAGGCTTCTGACAGTGATCCATGTTTTTAAAACCCATTCTTTCTCACTGCCGAGTTGTACTCCACGGACTGTAACAAACACAGTGACCCACTCCTCTGCCGGTGAACGTGGATTCCACTGTTTGGGCTCCCGTGAAAGCCGGACTCCCTGACCTCACCAGGAGCTGGGTGTCATCTGTCACAGTCAGACTAGATGGCCAGTGAGGAAGGCCCTGGTAGGCGCTGTGGGAGGTCACTGGATGAGGAGGGGTTCTGAAGGATTCCAGGGGAGTCTCCAAGAAGAGAGATCGCTTCTGAAACCAATGCCTTTTCTTTTTTTAAAATATATATTTTATTGATTTTTTTTACAGGGAGGAAGGGAGAGGGACAGAGTTAGAAATATCGATGAGAGGGAAACATCAGTTGCCTCCTGCACACCCCCTACTGGGGATGTGCCCGCAACTAAGGTGCATGCCATTGGGTGGAATCGAACCCGGGACCCTTCAGTCTGCAGGCCAAGGCTCGATCCACTGAGCCAAACCAGTTAGGGCTCCGATGCCTTTTCTGAGGCAGGTTAGGAGAACCGGGAATTAAACTGGTGACACGGGCCCTTTAGCAACTGTTTTCCCTGCTCCGTAAAGGATGGGATCAAGGGCTGGGGGCAACACTGGGCAGGCAGTGGTAGCCTATAGTTCCCTGCAGCTCTACGGACTTGAGAGGAACACTGTCCCCTCTAGGCTCTGCAGCTGGCTGCTTGGACCTGTCCTCCCCGCCTGATAGATGGCAGGACTGCTTTCTTCTTTTTTCTTAGTCTGCACCGGCTTTCACTCTTCCACTGCTATGAATAAACGTGAATGGGTTTTACAGTGATACACAATGAGGACTAACACTGCTTGAACATTTCTGTAAATGCTGGTATGTTTTCCTTTTCTCAGTCATTGCTGGATCTTCCATGGTATGACTATCTTTAACTCTAACTGAAACCGTTGCTCCAATGTGGCCAGTAAGACCTATCACTTCGAGATAATTTGATGGTGTTTCTCTCCTTCATCTGTTACTACTTGTACTGTTTTCTAAGGATCCAGAGATGCATCTGATGGCATTGCTGATTTCCTAAGCAAATCTGTCTCCTTTTCAGATTGATCAGTTGCCCTGGAGACTGCATGAATTGGACACTGAAAGAGGTTTTGCAAATTATTTCATCCTGTGAGTCTTAAACAAGATGAGCTTTGTTCCTCATTTCTTCAAACTACCAATAAATCCTTTAGTACACAAACTCGCAGTGGGACATGAAAGCAATGCTTTGTACACCAGATATCTCCTGGTAATACAGCATACTAACCCCAACCTTCATCTTTCTTACTAACGATGGCCCTTTCCCAGGTACCACACGTACCCAATAAAGAACAGTTATTTAAAGGGACTGCTAGGACATCCCGGGCCCCAGTGGGTTTGAGATCTCAACATCTTCCATCCACAAGAGAACGAGATTCTACCAACCATGGTTTCTGAGTGCTGCCTAGGAGTGTCCCACCTACTTTCTGTCCCCAGCCATGACACCACAGGGAAGATGAACTCTTCACCCATGGCAGCTGCCTGCATGGGACACAGATGGAGTTTTATCCCCTAATGTTTCTTTGGTCTGGGATTCCAGGATACCTGGCCATTTTCTTTCTTTCTTTTCTTTGTCTTCCTTTCTTCCTTCCTTCCTGGCCCTTTTCTTCTTCCTTTCTCTCTTTCTCTCTTTCTTTCTTTCTTTTTCTCTTTTTTAATAGATTTTGTTAATGTTTTTACAGAGAGAAAGGGAGAGGGAGAGTTAGAAACATTGATGAGAGAGAAACATCATCAGCTGCCTCCTGCACACTCCCCACTGGGGATGTGCCCGCAACCAAGGTACAGCCCTTGACTGGAATCGAACCCAGGACCCTTGAGTCTGCAGGCCGATACTCTATCCACTGACCCAAACCAGTCAGGGCTACCTGGCCATTTTCTTCAGAGTATTTGCAACCATGATCATTGGCAGAGCTAGTTCTTCTCAGGTAAGGGTACATGATCATCGTCAATTTGTAGGTGGCCAGTGTCCCACCAACTTAGCATTGCTGCGCTCCATATATGCTTTACATCATTATCCCTCCATACTAGTGGCCTACCTCAGTCTATAGGAAACACACTACATCTCCATAAGGAACAGGATATACAGGGGGTGGCAAAAGGGTCACAGCTGTGAGAATGTGGAACAGAGTTTATTCTTATATAACCTATTAATTATTGCATTATTTTCCATATGAACAACTGTAAACCTACTTTTGCCCCACCCTGTATACTTTCCTCACCATGACATCCATCCAAAAATGCTCATTTTGCTTGGTTCAAAACACCAACTTCAGGCAAAATCAATGCAAAGTTGCTAAAAATCATTGGCCCAAATTTGAGAAGAAACGACGTATTTGTATACTCTAAAAGTGGCTCCCCAAGATTTTACTTTTAATTACAGAAGGAAAAATCTTCAGCTTTCAGTGGAGAAACCTATCAGATAAAACTTAAACTGTCAATGAGATATGACATCACATGCTCTTATATGACTGAAGGAAGCTCAGGAGACATAAAGGCATGTGAATCTTAGACTTGATCCTAGCACAAAGGGACTTTAGTAGAAAACTGAGATTCAGCCCTAACCGGTTTGGCTCAGTGGATAGAGCGTTGGTCTACAGCCTAAAAGGTCCCAGGTTCGATTCCAGTCAAGGGCATGTACATTGGTTGTGGCACATCCCCAGTAGGGGGTGTGCAGGAGGTAGGTGATCGATGTTTCTCTCTGATTGACGTTCCTTCCTCTCTGTACAAAATAAATAAATAAATAAATACAAAATAAATAAATAAATAAATAAATAAATAAATAAATAAAAAAAAAATATATATATATATATATATATATATATATATATATATATTTTTTTTTTTTTTTTTTTTTTTTTTTTTTTTAAAAGAGAACACTGAGATTCAATTAGGTCTGGAGCTTAGTTAATGGTATTGTCCCAACATTAATTTCTTGGTTTTGATAACCGTACTAACACTTTGTGAAATGTTAACATCAGGAGAAATTAGAGGATGGGTCTACTCTTAGGAACAAAATTTTTGAAACTTTCCATAAAACTAAAAGTTATTTCAGAATAAAAAGTGAAAAGAAGTCCTGCCCTCTCCTAATGGCTTCCACACCCGCGTTGCCTGAGCCACCACATGCCCAGGACACTGTTTACTGTGAATGCTCCTCGTCACAGCCCAGCCTGTGGGTTCCCGAGGTCTCAGGGACAGGCCCTGTGGAGCTGTGGGGAAGGCTCTGGTGCAGCCACAGTACTGGTTCCTGCTGTGGGTTCTCCATCCGTTCCCCTTTCAGCCTCACAACTGAGCTGCATCCACATGCACAGCTGGTGCGTCTGCCGGAGCCGGAGAAGGGTGGGCCTCCAACACAGCACAGTGGCCCTCACCCCCAGGCGACCCCCAGGCATCCCAGCTCAGGTCCAGGAGCCAGAGGCAGCGTTGGCTGCTCTGCAGACAGCACAGGGCACCTCCAGCTTTCCCACGACGTGTCGATGTTTACCCTGGGCCCCTCACAGAGAACCCAGCAAGAACCCGCCCCGGGTCACCACCTGGCAGGTCCCTCGAGAGCACTTCACTGTCTTTCCTCCACAGACTGTCTCCGCAGGACTCCAGGAAACGCTAACAGACGCGCACCTGTCAGACTCTCACTTTCAAAGAACATCCTTGTGGTTTCCCCCACAGCCTGACTCATCTGACAACACGGAAGGGAGTCCCAGAGGAGCTGTCCTCTGCCTGAGACACACTCCCAGGATCAGAGCTCTCACTTCCTGCTTCCTCCTCTCACCCTGAACCCGGGCTCCCTCCCCAGTCTGCATTCGGGGTCTAACCTGGCCCTGGTGAGGCCTCACAGAGCTAAGGAGAGAGGTGACTGAGTCGGTGCCTCCCGCTGATCCATCCCGAGGACTTCAATGTCCAGGTGGTGACTTTTAATGGAAGAGTATCATTCCTCCTTCCCCACGGCCATGGCTGCTGGCCTCAGTGTGCTTGGCCATACTATGGCCCAAGCTGGGCTCCGTCTGGGTTATGTGCTGCCTGTGCTATAGAGCCTTTCCGTGGAAACCTACAAATTCAACCCAGGACCTGGTCCTACAGAATCAATCTCAACCTCTCTATCACCCATCCCCCCCCCCCCCCCCCCCCCACACACACACACACTCTCTGAGCTTGCCCACCCCTCTTCTGGGAATACATGCCGATCACATCCCTCCCAGTGTTCCTGCCCCATCAAACAGGGACTTCACAACAAAAAATCCCGACCGTCTGATTAACTGGTACACTCTGCTTGGGACACCATGAGCCAGTTAAAATTCCATAGATAGCCCGGCTAGCTCAGTCGGTAGAGCATGAGACTCTTAAAATTCCATAGATACCTCAACTCAGTGATTTCTGCAGAGTAGGGCTAAAAGAAGATACACAGTCAGGGTTATAATCCCGGGTACGCCTGGGTCTGAGACACGAGTTCAGATTTCCTCAACTCTTACCTGCGTTCACATTTATAAAAAAGAAAGGTAACTCCGTGTTTGCTGAATGTAGACACAGAGAGTTGGAATTTCTAACGCTACCAGGGTCCTTTTCCTGGCTCCTCATTCGGGTTCACGTGCTTTTGTACCATGGGAAATATTCCGAATGGGTGCCCTTTAGAACAGAGCGCCTCTACCACCCCCGGGTGCCCACCCAAAGCCGCTGCCCACCCCTGTGTGCCCACCCAACGCCGCCGCCCACCCCCGGGTGCCCACCCAACGCTGCCGTCCACCCCCGGGTGCCCACCCAACGCCGCCGCCCACCCCCGGGTGCCCACCCAACGCCGCTGCCCACCCCCGGGTGCCCACCCAAAGCCGCTGCCCACCCCTGGGTGCCCACCCAAAGCCGCTGCCCAGCCCTGGGTGCCCACCCAATGCCGCTGTCACAGATGGCCCCTATGTGGCCCTGAGGCCACTGACACCTGCCTTCTTGTCTCTGATCTGAAAAGAATGACGTTCACAATGAGCCTGGGTCCAAAACGCTTACCCCCTCACTAGTTCTCTAAAACAGAGGGGATTTTATTTCTCATGTGAAAGGGTTAAAAGTGCTGATGCGTGATCACATCATCCAGAGAAGGATGGTAAGCTTGGCAGTCTTGAACAGCTTGCAAAAAGTGTATGTAATACATGTATCTCCTTCTTAACCATCGGAGAGAGAGCGACAAGACATCCATGTGGCTAATCCCCTTCTTTTGAGGATGAAAAAACTGAGAGGCCCAAGGAGTTAAATGGCTCTGATGTCTCATGGTCTAATCCCAACTCAGTATTCCTTCTACCATCTCCTCCACTCTAAATACTCCAATTCATCATCACAGAAACCTCATTCATTTGCTGGGTAATGTAGTTTGAGAAAGTGTACAGTACCCATAACAATGTTGGACTGAATGAGATCAAATGGAGGTTTAATGACAATTACAACTCGTAATGTTTCACAAAGGTAGGCTAGAGCCCAGGAAATAAAGATGCTCTTTAGTTCTCGGGACAAATCTGAGGACAACACCAAAACCAAAACAAACCTGGATCCCCTAACTCCTGGCCAGTGTTCTTTTCCTATATCACAGAACCTCTTCACTTACTTTCAAACCCCTTTAGGAATTTCACCAAGAAACATAAATATAAAAAAAAATAGTCATTTATTTTTTCTATCCAAAAAAGGCTACTTTTATGTTATTTGAGGATAGAATTACTGCAAATGTTTCAAATTATTACTCTAAAAAACTAAGCTTTGTCTCACATAAATGCTACTCTCCTACTGTGACAACTCACCCTGTTAACAAGTAACATTTAAAAAATATATATTTTATTGATTTTTTTACAGAAAGGAATGGAGAAAGATAGTTAGAAACATTGATCAGCTGCATCCTGCATACCTCCTACTGGGGATGTGCCCGCAACCAAGGTACATACCCCTGACCGGAATTGAACCTGGGACTCTTCAGTCCGCAGGCCCATGCTCTATCCACTGAGCCAAATCGGTTAGGGCAGCAAGTAACATTAATAAAAAGAACTTACCAAGAACTTTCAGCTGAATCTTCTTGTTGCCCACGCCAGGGGCCTTTTTCACCTTGCACTGGTATGTGCCGATGTCTGACAGCTGTAAATTGGTCACATTTATGGACGCATCCCCAGCTTTGAGGTCACTGCTTGTAAAATGTACTCGTCCTTTCAGGTCTGGATAGTAGTCATCGTAAATTTTGTCTCCAGAATATAAGATAATCTAAAAGAAAACCACAATCAGACGGGAACACAACAACGAGGCAAAAGCTGTGTCATCAGAGCTCTAGAAACACCAGGCCACTGCAGGGCCCCAAAACAGTGAGACACATAGACGAGGAAGCCACAGCGATCCAAAGCACAGAAGAAGAAAACGGAGAGCGGTCAATATGATCCTGAGTGTGGCCGCACACTCTCATTTTAACGTGAAAGCGAAGACCGAGCATGAGGAACACAGCCCTGTATTAGGGCTATGTGCTAGTGAAACTGGACAAGAACACAGAATTGTGAATTTCTGTAACCATTCCTCAGCTGCCTCCAAGGCTGCAGTAGGCATGCCAATCAAGTGTATAAAATCAAGTACACACCATCACCATTCCCCAAAAAGGGCTTATGATGTGTTAGATCTGTGAAGTCTAACAAAACAGCAATAACAAAGACATTTTTGTCTTAATACTAAGTTGGAGGATTGATCTATACTAATAAAGAGGTCATATGCTAATCAGGACGTCTTCCAGACAAAGCCACAGCGGCTGTGAGGGCCTAGGGCCGGTGGCACGGGCGGGCAGCACTGGGAGGGAGAGGCGTGCCAGCACGCGGGCCAGTCCAGCACCTTGGCCCCTTTTGCAGAGGCCCAAGGCTCAGAGAGCCACAGCGGTCAGCAGCGGCAGCAGCAGCAGCAGTAATGGCAGGATGATGGGGGCAGCGCCTTCCTCTGATTGGCCTGGTCACCTCCCCCACAGAGAGCGGGCCTAAGCCTTCAGTAGGACATCCCCTGAGGGCTCCCGGACTATGAGAGGGGGCAGGCTGGGCTGAGACCTCCGCCCCCGCCCCAGCTCATCAATTTTCGTGCATGGGGTCTCTAGTATTTAATAATTGAGGGTTCTAGACTCTAATAGATTAAAAGTCATAAAATAAACCGCTTAAGACGTGTTCCCAGGGTAACAGGATCTTTCAATCTTGTCAGGAGAGCAAAGACCCTTTCCTAATTCCACTGAGTTTTCTGAGTTTACCTGAAATGCCTGAAGGCTAAATTCAGCGGGGAAACTAACTTATCTCAGAAGAGAATGATAATAGTCACCTCTAAGTATAATTAAAATTAGCCGGGACCGGTTTAGCTCAATGAATAGAGCGTCGGCTTGGGGACTGAAGGGACCCGGGTTCGATTCTGGTCAAGGGCATGTACCTTGGTTGCGGGCATATCCCCAGTAGGGGGTGTGCAAGAGGCAACTGATCGATGACTCTCTCTCATCGATGTTTCTAACTCTCTATCTCTCTCCCTTCCTCTCTGTACAAAATCAATAAAATATATTAAAAAAAAAAAAAAGAAAAAGAAAAATTAATTCAACACACTTTGTAATTTTTCACATGTGCCAAGAAATCCTTCATTCAGGTCATGTGAGACCCAAGGGCCAAAGAGCGGTGGTGCCAAACTCAAATAATAACCAGAAACATGACTATAGTCTATATTCTCCAAATAATTTTTTTATCTGAAAAGATCTCTTATTTATCTATTCAGCGTCTGCTTCCAGGAAGCACTCAGTCACAGTAGACATCTGAAGGTGCACAGCCAGCTTACTCTGCAAACTCGGCCATTACTGTATTTGTTCCACCTTCTCGCCACACCCACGTGTCAACAGCAATACTAACCCCTCCAACGAGGCTGCCCTGTGTGCTCCTTTGTATTAACCATGGACTCCCCAGAAAGCTCAATCTACAGCACTTTCAATCCCACATTTTGCTACTCACATAGTTTAGTAGTCTTTAGAAGAGGGACTGACAAATAAGATGTGTCCCCACTGGTAGCGACTTTGTAAACTATTGAGTCTTTTCCCACAGAGACAAGGTTATGAACAGCAGTTAAGAAATAGGGAACTAACTAACATTTACCAGGCCATTTTGGTTTCTCTTCACAATCCTGCAGGGTGGTGTTCTTACCCACATTTATCCTTTAACTGCTGGAACGCTGTGACCCTCCCAGATCAGCTTTTACAAAGTCACGCAGCTAAGGTGCACATCAGATCCCTTTGCGCTGGCACCGTTATTTTATTAACATTGCAACACTATGCATACAGTATTTCAGAAAACTCTCATTGCAATCTTGAGAGGTAGGTATTTTTGTTCCCAGGTTACACCTGAGGAAGCAGAGGCTTCTGGAACATGGGAGGCAGTCCGGGATGGTGCAAAGGGGGACAAGTCAGAGACCTGGCTTCCAACCCCAGCGGCAATGTGGTCAGCCATGTGACCCGGGGAGTGTTCAATACAATCTCCGGGCCTCCGCTGTCTCCTCCTCATGTGTACAACAATAACCCTCACTTTAGAGTGTTGTTTTAAGGCTTAAACACATATAATTAAAGTATATGAAATGCCACAGAGCACAGAGTAAGTACACAGTCCATGGCAAACTGTCTACTGCCTACAGAGATCACACAGGAGTAGGATGGAAATTTCTCCAGCCCAATTTCTGCCTGCTGATATAAATAAATGAAAGGGGCACCGCTAACATATTATAGAATGTAGCTTCATTCTATGTAAGCATGCTCTTCGGCACCAATCTCCCCCTAACCCTTCTAGCTCTCGCTGGGCTGATGGTGCTGCGTTACACTCCAAGGCTAGTTTTTGTAATGCACAAGGGGATGCTTAAGCAGCCCTGGCTTCCTGCTATCTCCCAAGTCCTGCAGGAACCAAGGCTGTGCTCCCACCCCTCCCAGGAACAGACACACAGGACTACGGACACACACCGGGCTTCTTGGTCTCCAGAAGCTCCTTGTTATGGCTTCCCTTACACGCCTTAAGCCAAAAGCACTTAGGCAAGATTCTCCCTCCCCATCCATTCATCTCAGCCACGAGGGCGGAGCCCTGGGCTTGAAAGGGAGACAGGCCCTGTGCTGCCAGGGCCGTGAGGGTACACAGGACCCCAGGCAGAAAAAAGCCTGTGTTCAATGGTGCTGGCCCTCCGTGGGAAGGGGTTGGGGGTGGGGTGGGAAGAACAAGGCAAGGAGGGAGGACACAGGGCATCTGGGCTGAGTCCATTTCAATTTACTTTGCTGAGGGAGGGAGGCAGAAGGGATTTCCAGCAGCAGAACCAGGGCAGAGGTGTGTCCTTGGAGGGAGTGGCCCTAGTCATTCTCAACATGGGAAAGTACCTTAATTATTTCCTTTCCAAATACACTGCCTGGATTTGCTGGAAAGAGTAATTACCTTGCTGCCCTGATTCAGCCATTCAGCCTTCTTTTACATGGGTCATAAGTGAAAATAAAATTTATCTTCTGAATATGTACATAGTTGACCCTCAAACAATGCAGGGCTTAGGAATACCTGTACTCATACAACCCTGAGTAGAAAATTTGCAAATAACTTTTCTTTTTTTAATCCTCACCTGAGAATATGTTTTTATTTATTTTAAGAGAGAGAGGAAGGGGGAGAGAGAAACATCAATCGGTTGCTTCCCTTTACGCATCCCAACAGGGAATTGAACCTGCAACCTTTTGGTGTACGAGACAATGCTCCAAACAAATGAGCCACCCAGCCAGGGTGCATATACAATTTCTGACTGCCCCAAAAGTTAACTGCTAATAGTATTCCATTGACTAAAAGCCTTCCCAAGAACATAAATAGTCAATCAGGACATAATTTATATGTTATATGTATTCAATACTGTATTTTTATAAAAAAAAAAAAGTAAACTAGAGAAAAGAAAATGTTATTAAGAAATTCATAAAGAAGAGAAAATACATTTAGAGCATTTATTAAAATAATCTATGTATAATGGAACTGCACAGTTCAAACTTGTGTTGTTCAAGGGTTAAATGTATTACCATATTCCTCCAAATATGTGGACTTATTTCCCTCTCCCTGGTCTAATATTATAAATTTTTATCATTGACTTTATTTTTTTATTACATGTGTCAGATGAAGCTAATATGCAATATTCTAAATTAAGTGAAACATTTTGGTACCATTAAGAGGTAAAGCTTGATATATATATATATATATATATATATATATATATATAGAGAGAGAGAGAGAGAGAGAGAGAGAGAGAGAGAGATGAGATGAGATTATAACAATATTTTGATATTTAATTTTTCAAGTTTAATGTTGCTGTTTTGCTAGGAAGATTTGCTTTGCTTTTAAAGAAATTCATTATATAGGATATTTACCTTGGAGAAATATGGAGAACAGCCCTGGCCAGTTTGGCTCAGTTGTTGGAGCATTGGCTCACAGACTAAAGGGTCTCAGGGTCGATTCCCAATCAAGGGCACATGCCTCAGCTGTGAGCGCGATCCCTGGCCTGGGTCAGGGCATCTGCGGGAGGTATTAATAGCTGTATCTCTCACATGAATGTTTCTCTCTCTCTGTCTCTCTCGATCCCTGGCCTGAGTCAGGGCATCTGTGGGAGGTATTAATAGATGTTTCTCTCACATGAATGTTTCTTTCCCTTTCTCTCTCTTCTCCCCACCGCCACACACACACACACATACTATCTAAAAACCAATGGAAAAATATCCTCCGGTGAGGATTTAAAAATAAAAAAATATAGAGGACAGATTCTGTAATAGCATGTAATTGTGTTATACCCTGCTACACTTGACCCTTATACTGGTATCAGAACTCTTGTGTTAAAGTTAGGAACTCAATCTTATCAACTTTTCACAAAGTCTGAGTCGCTTGGCAACCCTTAACACACACTATGCACATTTCTGCCGCGCTGTCATGTCTGCTCCACTACTTCCTGACTCATCCACACTTTACACCAGACTTTCAGAGGTTCCCGTGCCCGCTAAGCTATGTGGTCAGAGCAGTGATGGGCACCGAAGACAAGTTCCACGTACAGCTGCTGAGCGAGCGAGCACTCGGCAAACTTACCACTTGGTCCACCTTCTGATTGTCGGCGGGGGACAGCAGCCACTCGATGTCCAGCGGCCCCTGGTCTTCCGGACCTTGTGTAAATTTGCAGGGCAGGTAGGCAGTTTCCCCTTTGGCCTTTTCAATCATGTGGTCAGGACTGGTGATGCTCAAACTTCTGGCGACATCTGGAGAAGGAAACACACATGCGGACTAAGCATCTGAACCCTTGGACCACCCAGCCGTTCAGAAGGGACACAGGATGCTGTGAGAACAAGATGCGAGTTCAAACTTAGAGGTGCCCGGTTTTCAGTTGGTGCCCCTTTGTAAAATTAGAATGACAATGTAAGGTCGTATCCAATATAATCTCCTTTAAGGGCTCGGTGAACTTCCCAACTGTATAGAGGGTGTTCACACCCAAGCAGATGTTTAAAACTGAATTTAGCTGCAATCTCTGCAAGGCCAGTTGTGCCATGCCAATTCAAGATCACATTAGCCATGCTCGTCTTGGTGCCACCAACACAATGGGAATTCCTTATCGCTGGGACGCATGCTGATGAATTCTGACACCTTTTCTTCTTCTTAGAATTAATAATTCTAAGCTTTTTGCTTTGTTTTGCTTTTTAGTTTTGATTCCATAACTTTTATTGAATGCTTGAAAATATTTCTAAGCTAAGTGAGTAGAGCCCAAGAGTTCTCATCACAAGGAAAAAAACATATTTTTTCTTTTGCTTTCTTTGTGTGTATCTTTCTATGAGCCGATGGATCTTGACTAAATTTACTGTAGTAATTATTTCACTCTACATGTAAGTCAAATCATGCTGTACATCTTAAACTTATGCCGTGCAGTATGTGTCAATGATATCTCAACAAAACTGGAAAAGAAGCTGCCAAAATAAGATGCCCTGTGCCCCAAACAAATGTCTAAGATTATGCTGATTGAGTTTGTCAAAAAGAGATGGCTTAACCCCACTGACACACTGTAATTACAAAAAAAAAGTGTCCTTCTTGAGTTGGGGGTGTGAACACAATATACAGCTGATGTATTACAGAATTGTATCCCTGAAATCTATAATTTTATTAGCCAATGTCACTCCAATAAATTCAATAAAATTAAAGATAAAGTATCCTTCTTGCAGCTAATGGTTTACAACAATCTTTTACATGCATAAAAGGTAGAAATAACCTCTGAGCAAAATGGCGCCACTTCTTAATCTAAATAAGGGTAAAAATACCAAGCTCAGTCAATTCATGTCTTTTTTTTTTTTAAGCAATTTTGTTCATATCAGTTTCACACACAAAAATAGGTCTGTTCACTACTCATGTCTTATGAAAGATCAGAGTTCGAACAACCTAACAATTCCCACAAAACTTAATTTTTTATTATTTACACTGTAAAGGATTGCATAGCACTAGTTTGTCAATCTATGTTTTCCTGATGAGGACATTTCTTCACATATAAATTTAGACATCTAATGTATGCAGAACCAAAGTTTCAACTGAGCAGCAGATTTCAGCAGCTCTCCCATTCCGGCCTCTCCATCACCCACCCTAACTTCAGTGGCAGGATTATGACCTGGAAGAGGCCTGAGGCACTAAAATCATACATGGTCCATGGGTCCTGGCTTCCTCCCCTTCTCTTCCCTCGATCCCCCCATAAAAATAAACACATGAGAGAAAAATCAGAGTAAACCCAAGTCCTAATACTCCATAATGAGGACAAACCAAAAATGAGGAATTAGCCATCCCGGGGTCCTTTCCATTAGCACATTGGCTATCACTTGTAATAAGATGCTAACGAAGTTGAAGCTTAAAGATTGAGAACGAAAGAAAAGCCAGATTACGTTTAAGACCATTTATACTCAGGAGCCATCGTAAGCGTTTTATCACATTTAAGTGCCCTCCTTAAACAGCAGATTAAAACTGGACACAGACTCTCCGCTCCCTTAAATCAGAGGCTGGCCTCACACTGGCCAGTAGAAAACGGCAGAAGTGTGGCTTCTCTGAGGGGAGGAAAAGGCCTTGCTGCTCCCACTCTCGCCCTCCCAAACCCCTGCCACCTGCCACCGAGTGAACAAATCACACAGAAGAGAACGGAGGTGTTTGATCAATAGCTGCAGCTGCCCACCATGCAGCCCCCCCGGAATACTGGGCAGCAGTTCAGACCAGCTGCTGGCAGGCGTAGTGAGCCCAGAGCTTTCCTTCCGAGCCTAGCCTAAACTGGCAACCCATAGAATGAGGAACAAAGACATGTCATTGTTTTTAAGGCTCTAGAGTAGGGGTGTCGAACTCAATCAGAGAAGTGGCCAAAATCTAAAATCCAGCCTAAATCGCGGGCCGAATGGTTTACTGAACAGTCATAAACTGTCATTGTGATGGAAACGCAGCGGAGTGCAGTGATGACAGTGCGGTGCGGGCCACATTGCAAGGCCTGGCGGGACGGATTTGGCCGGCGGGCCTTGTGTTTGACACATGTGCTCTAGAGTTTAGACAAAGATTGATGATGATACACCATCCAAATCCACTGATTCGGCCCAAATAGACTACTACTTAATATTGCCTCCAAGAAGTCCATACCACTCCAGTCTGCATTTCCTATCTAACATTCCTATTTAAAACTAAGTGATTTGAAATTTATGTGTGTGATCTCAAGGGTCTCTCAAGAATCAATCCCCAAATACACACTTTCTATCATCTGTATACATAAAAGCCGAAGCGACCATTACGACTGAACAATTCGAACAACCAGACGACCAGTCTCTATGATGTGCACTGACCACCAAGGGGTAGATGCTCAACACAGGAGCTGCCCCCTGGTGGTCAGTGCGCTCTCACATCCCACAGGGTGAGTGCCACTAAGCCAGAAGCTGGGCTCACGGCTCACGGCTGGTAAGCTGGTGGGTGCTACTGAAGCTCAGGCTCCTCACTGGCCACACTGCTACATCCCCCAAGGCAGGGGTTTTCAAACTGCGGCCCGCGGAGGAGTCTGATCCGGCCCGCCAGGTTTTTTGGGCAGTGAGCGCAGCCGAGGTTGTTACAGTAGGAATTAGTAGTTCATATAGTCCGGCCCTCCAGCTCTCTGAGGGACTGTGATCTGGCCCCCACTTTAAAAAGTTTGAGGACCCCTGCCCCAAGGGGTCCTGGATTGTGAGAGGGATTGTGAGAGGGTGTAGGCCAGGCTGAGGCCGCCCTCCCCGCCACCCCACGCATGCGTCCATGCACTGGGCCTCTAGTTTCTAATAAACCCTGTTCTATTCCTACCTCATTCACCAACGTAACACTCTACCTCTTAGCCTAGAATGATTCTTTCTGTTTCTCTACAGGTGCTCACAGTACTTTACTTTCTGCTACCGGCATCACCCTTTTGGCCTTAGCATAGGGTATCCTGGAGATTTTTCCCTTGTAAACTTCATTGTGAAGTGGACCAAAGTAGGCTCCATGGTTTTGCCACATCTTCTAGATGAGCTTATGTCCTGCCCATACTTCCTAGTGCTTTTAACTGATTCTTTACAATACTGACTTACCATGAAATCATTAGTTCCATTAGGGTTGGGAGAAATTATGGACCCCTCTATGTCTCCTTGTAGTTCCTTGCACATTAGTACAAAAGAACTGGGGACTAGATTATACATTTGATCAATTTTAGAAAAGCTGAAAGAGCATGAATCTGCCAGTCGAAGATGAATTCTGCTTCTTTTGCCACTACAATTTGTTGCCTGTATTTATCTTGGTAATAACACTTTTAAGTGTTGAGTAAGAGAAAGACAATCTGAGCCCAGCCCAGAATGAAACTTCCATTCCAAAACGAATCAAGACACGGAGCCAAAATATAGAGGTAAGGCTATGAGAGTGAAAATTTGCTAATAACAACAACCACCAGTAAAACTTCCTGATCATTCAATGCTTTTAGGGTTTTTATTTTATTAAAGTAAAATTAAAAAGTCAAAGGACATCAGCCATATAAATTTTTCTAAGTTCAAATTAGAATAAAATACAACTTAAGTTTTTGTAACAGTGCCTTTTATTCTTATTTGATACATAAAAAACACTTTTATCTTTCCAGAGGACTTTATAAAACAGTTAATGAGTGGAAGCACTGGGAGAAGCGGGAAGTCCCCACCTGCGGAGCACGTGTGTTTGTGGATGCCTTCCCATCGGAATGCCCCACTTCCTCCCCCCCAAGAGCACCTCCAGCCACTTATCCACCACCTTTCACCTCCTAAGGCTCTCCCCATCCCACAGGCAGGAAGTAAACCGCTTCCTCCTATTACACAACACGCCCTCACAGGTAGTTGTTTACATACCCTGCCCCGTACTAGTAAGCAAACAGGTTCGCTCACTGAACAGATTTTCTCTGGACGGTATATCCCCAGGCCTTATTTAGCAAGCCCTTTGGACCTGTGGTTTCACAAAAGGAGCTCAGGGCAGAGGGAAGGAGAAGGAGGAGTGATGATGGTAGAGAGGACCACCAGACCTTGTGGGGAAAGCAGGAAGGCCATGGAATACCTGTATCCAGGGAAGCAAAGGGGTGGAGCCATGGAGCCCAGACAGGAGACAGAGCTCAGAGGGAGCTGAGCAAGCCGGTCCCATGCTGATGAGAACAGTCCATTGCTTTTTACTTACTGTCCATAGTACAACAAATGTTAGCACATCTGGGTTAAAAAAAAAAAAAAACGAACACGATTAGCCCTAGCTAGTTTAACTCAGTGGATAGAGTAGTGGCCCGTGAACTGAAGGGTCTCGGGTTTGATTCTGATCAAGAGCACTTTCTCTCATATCGATGATTCTGACTTTGCTGCTCTGTACCACTCTATCTAACATTAATGGAAAAAATATCCTCAGGTAAGCATTAACTAAAAATAAATAAAAAGCTACAATAGTATGATTTCAGCTTTAAATGCAACTTTATGTACAATTATATACAATTATGAGGGAAATACAACATTAAGAAAACCTTTTAGTTGTGTCTATTCTAAAATCACAGTTATGGAAGAAGAAAAGCTGCCTGGCTATCTCTAGCTATCGCTAGAACAACATCAAGCAGAAAACGATTACCACTGATAAGTGGTTTCTCAGAGTTTCTGAAGTCATTCCAAAGATAGCAACAACAATAAAAAAAGGAAAATTATAAATGAAAACAAAAATTTAAGGTTAATTCTTAAAGTCCTGTTCTTTAGTTTCTTGGGAA